AGGAATGACAGATGAGGCAATTCACTGAAAGTATCTTCTCATTTAACTAGTTTAGTTTATTTAGACCCTACTAGTAGAACCAAGCTGTGGACTTAAATTTCTGTTTCAATTTGTCTTCTACTTTTCAATTTCTTGTCAATACCGAAAATGCTGGCCAGCTGTATCAGTAAAAATGTTCTGCCTTTAGTTAAGTAACTTCACGTGTAAAACAGATATAAAGCAGTAAAAAAGACAGCACTTTTATTTTACTGCTTTGAGAATGTAACTTCTTACTGTAGTGGTTAGACATTAAAAGTTCTGCCAGACAAACACATGCAATGTTTCAAATAACTTTTTAATTGAATCTCTAATAATCAGTTGGTTATCATGCAGACTTTTTAAGTTGATATATTAAAATGGAGCATGTTTTGAATTTAAACTAGATAGAGATGTTTGATGTATGCTTTCCTTAGGAATAGCGTTCGATAAAGCAACTCATTCTGCTCCTCTAACATCCCCGTGATGTGATTTAAAGGGAGCTAATCATGTTTAGGACAAAAAAAAAAAAGATGTTTATTTTTATTGCCTTATGCAAACATTTATAATGCTATAATGGCATAATGACATAAAGTGTGGTTTGCTCACTACTGAAAGAGCAAAGTAAGGTCATTAATGTCTACTGAAATAAGGAAGAATTGCAGTTCTTTTTTCTTACGGTAGGTAATCCATGGCACATAAACTAGCTCAACTTGCATGTCTGTACTTTAAATATCTAAAAGTCTGCAACTGTTCAGCATGAAGAGACTGCAGTTTGACTAAACAAGTGAAGGTCACATATTTTAGTTTCCCTCATTGTTCATTTTAATTTGTCAGTCCTGGAATTATAGCACTCAGATTAGTTACAGAGTATCTACCTGACTTCTTTTCATAGCAGTGCAGGTTTGAAAGAACTTTGTAAGCAATTTTTTTTTGTGTGTCTTAATGAGAAGACTGTTGAGCACCATTATATAAAAGGTGGGATTTTTATAAATACATGAGGGATTTGGAAATGTAAGTTAAGTGAAAAAATATGTGGCTGCATGAGAAGACAGATTATAGACCTAGACAACAAAGTGATGTCTTAAGCTATATTTTTAGAAGGATGTGGACCTGCTGTTTAAAGTAGCAGAGATGAGATCGCAGTATTTTCCTCGTATTGCTGTGCCTATGGAACTGTTGACTGAAAAACTAAAACATTTAGTGAAGAAAACACCAAAACTTTATTTGCTTTGAAACCTCATAGTTACTTTGGGATTCTTTGTGTGTTTATTACTGACTTTTCCAGTCATGTTCAAATTGTTAGAAGATGGTGCTTTTGTTACCTTGCAATCTGTTGCTGAGAAAGTCCATTATTTTTCAGGCACAGCGTTTGTGCAAACGATGTGGTCAGGCCTGGAGAGCTGCAACTTTGGAAGGATGGAAATTGTATCATGATCCTAACATAAATGGAGGTATCTGTTGCAAGTGCACTTTGAAGTAGAAGTCAGAATAGGACAGACAGCTTGTTCTTGATACCTGGCTCTGACAAAGAGGAATAATTTGTTGCATCTTAAAGACCTTTTATTTATCTAATTTGTATTATTTACCATATCTGATCAACATATGTAAAACTAACATGAAAAAGTTTTAGTTAAAGGTATGTATTCACTGAAACCACTTAAAAAGCAGCTTTATGCTTTCTTTTTGAAAAGCATGCATAATGACTAGGAAATAAATGTCTGGGAATTCCAGACAGATTTCCTCCGGCTCCATATAATGTTTCATTAAGCAATTTTTTTCAAGTTTGACTTGTACCACCTAGCAACCATTTTGTTGCTTAGGCTCACAGAAGTTGGGCTCTTTATCTATTGTCAGAAAACTTGAGAGAAGTACAGGAGGACTAAACTTCAGCAGATTTAAATGCATAAAATGAGATGCTCTCAAACTTTTCGGAAAGTGTTAAATTACATTTCTTCTTTAGGTCAAGATTTCTTGACCACTGTCCTCTTTATAACATCATACATGGCTTCTGACTCTGCAGGATTTGGCAAGGAATTTAAAAACTTGTCTAAGTGCTATGCACAGTTAGGACCAGAGGCCACAGTGCTTTGCTATATCTTTTTATTTTATCTGGATGCTTCGCCGTGTCCTAGCTCTCCTTTGCACTTAACCTGCTGTCACTCCTTTCTTTCTGTGGCACCGGTGCTCATACAGAGGCAAGGGAAATAGCATCACTGAAGAAATGATCTGAAATTTACTAGAAACTCATACACCTATTAAAAATCTTGTACTTGCTAAATTTGGGTTTTCTGAATTTAAATGTCGTAGATGTGTTGTGGTTAAAAATACAGTTTTTGTTGCCGTTGTTTTTGTTTTTTCAAGGCTGAATAATGGATAAGCTTTAAGATACTGTAATTTTAAATATGGTTTCCAAAACCTCCTTGAAAGATACCTTATAGTCCAGTCAGAAGTATCAACATGCTTTGGGAAGAGTCCTGAAAGGACTGAAAATTGGGTTGATAACAGGAAATGGGATTTAACTTCTTAGTGATTTCTTTTTCTTTAAACAGCAGCTGCTTTTTAAAATGTCTTTTGCATGTAGGAAAGGAGCTGGAACCTGTGGAAGGGAATCCATACAGGTGCATTTGGAAAATAAGTTGTTGGCGTATGGCTGAAGAGGTAAAATAATGTTGAATTGCTTGGTTTTAATGTACAAATTTAGCTTTTTTTTCCTGTAGTCAGTAACATGCTTTTAAGTAAACCTACCACTTCATGTTTACTGCATATAGAATTTGTTTTTAAGAGGACTCTTGAAATAGATATATTTTTGTATTGAAGGGAAAAATGTGCATAATCAGCACCGATTTTTAAGGCTTTGGAAATGTTTCAACTGAAGGTGACTTACTGTGTTTTTAACTCAAAGTTTTATTTTTAAATGTTTATTTTAGGAGCAGTTCAATAGATATGAGAGAGCAATCTATGCAGCACTCAGTGGAAACCTCAAACAGGTATGTCCTGTTACTGATATTTGGTAGTTGTGCATTTTCTTTTTTGTATGTGGCAGAAATACTGCAGTTACTCTTTAATGTACTTTAAAAAAGATCTAGTAAACAAGAGCAGAGCAAGCAATACTTCTGTAGGAGACATTGTCACTCATGGGCTGTCATGCCTTAATTAAATACACTTGCTAGACTTCTGTTATTCTTGCTGTCAGTAAAACCATTTCAGATTTTGTTCTAGTCCTCCTCTCTCTCTGTATTATTTACACGTAGTTGGCCTCCTGCTTGTGAGCAGTTCTCATCTGCATGGGTTCTGAGCTGGTGAGGGGTGCCACACTGGGTATGGGGTCAGAATGGTGCCACACATGTAAGGATCATAGGGCTGTTTCTTTTGACTGCCTCTGACTTTAAAATAACCAGAGAATTAGGGTGTTGTGCAGGGAACAGATTTTTGCATCATGTATTGAAAAAACAAAGCTTGCTGTTTGAGGTGTTAGTATCTTTTGATGTCTGGAAATCTTATTCTAAATTAAAGTTGCTGTGTTCATATTCTGATATTGTTCCATCTCTGATTACTTTTTGCTGGTTTTAATATGTAGCTTCTTCCAGTTTGTGATACTTGGGAAGATACTGTTTGGGCATATTTTAGAGTCATGGTGGACACTCTTGTAGAGCAGGAAATCCGTACCTCCGTGGTAACTGTAGAGGAGATGGAAGAACTCCCTAGAGATTACTTAGAAACAAAGTAAGTTTAACTACATTCATTTTCCTAAATTTAAGAAAATATCCATATTTTCACAATATTCAAGCTAACTTAGTTTTTTACTTTCTCTCTTATTTTGAAGTTGGACTTCAGAAAAAGTTTTTGAGGAGCTTCAAGCAACAGACAAAAAGGTATATGTTAATTGGCGTTTCTCCTTAGTGTTCATTATTTTTAACTATCCATTAGACTGTCCTTCTTACCCCAGTATTTAATGGAATGATCATGCAAATATGTGCAGTGATTAATTTATTTGGGGCTTTCTGTAGTGTGTCCTTGCTTAATTATAATTGATTTTGCCATATGCTGCCACTTTTTAATGATGAAAAAGATACAGATCTTGTCCTGTCCCAGATCTGCCAAACTAGCTGATTATGCTAGAAAAATAACTATGAAGTGCTGCCAGACATACAAAGCAGAAAAAATAAATCCTCTATTTAAAACTTAAATAAAATGTTTGAAGGTTGATTGCATACAGGAGGTTGTGAAGAGGTTTGTGAGCATATTTCAGCTCTCTGAGCATTTAGGAGACTATTTGGTTAAGCACACTGTGTTTCCTCGTTACTTTTAACAGCTGGGATATTTATTATATTTAAGATGGAATATACACAACTTATCAGATATTTCTGTAATGCTTAAATTGAAGCTTGATTTAATTTTATTTGATAGAAGAGACAAATAGCATTTTTCGTATTGTTAATTCGAAAGATAGCTTAGTTAGCCGTAGATACACCCAGGTGCCTTTCTAGTGCTATCCTCATTCTATAGGAAATTTAAAAGTGCATTTGAATCATGTTTCATGCATTAATTCCTCTACAGGAAAATTTCCCTTCTAACCTAGAAATATTTCACAGGATTTGTCTTCAAGGATTTGTACACATGTTCCTTCTGTTACTTTATAGAATCTATTTTCTGTAACAAAATCATTTATTCTCCAAAGGAAAAAAAAAACCCCAAACTTAGTTTTTAATTTAATACTAGTATTAACTCCACAAAATCTGTATTCTGATTCTTTATTTCAGTTTCTCAGTATTCTTATTGTAATTCAACAGATAGCTGGTGCATTTTCTCCTGTCCTCTGTGCAGAATACCCTTTGAAATAAAATAACTTCTTTTTTTCCTAAGAAACTTTTGCTTTATTTGTGATCTTTCTTTCTTTCTTTATACATTATACTAAAAGATTTTTATTCAAACTTGGGACTTTTTTTCCCTCTGCAGAGAGTGATAGAGGAGAATCAAGAGCACTACCATGTGATTCAGAAATTCATTATACTGGGAGATGTAGATGGTGAGCTTTTTCCTAAGTGATCTTTAAATGTCAGCTGTCTACATAATTTCTAGTGACCTTTCCAGAAGCTTAAAATTGAATGGGTTTTAGAATTGCACACTAGGCAAACTCCACCTAAAAATGAAGCTGCTTACTTCTTTATTCAGGAATTACAGTGACTTTTTGTAGTTTGACATACCGAGTAGCTTTCAAAGCAGTTGTGAAGCCGTGCAAATGTGTGGCTATGTATGTGAGACCTTTGTAACTTTTTCTGAGAAATGACAGAATACACACAGGAGATATTTAAACCGAACAGCAAAATCTTTCCAAAACCAATACAGTTTTGTTTTACTGGACTTCTAAGGATAAAACACATTTTTTGAATAGACACATAGTTTTGAAAAATACCTTAGGCATTTCTCCAGCTTTCCCATGATATGGCTAATTATAAACATGCAGTTGCTGCCTGCAGGTTTGATGGAAGAATTCAGCAGATGGCTTTCGAAGGACAGAAGCGTTCTCCCAGGACACCTTCTTCGTTTCATGACACATCTTATTCTCTTCTTCCGCACGCTGGGCCTGCAAACTAAAGTGAGTTCAGCTGTGTTTAAGTTGCTGCCATAGCTGTACCCACCCATTAGGTTAGAAATGCACGTACCTAAGTATGCTGCATGCAGTGATGCTAAGCCACTGCTAGGCTCATGAGGAGCTGCACACCTAAATAAAGTATTTGCTGATCTTGTATCCTAAAAGCAACAGACAAAATTAGAGAAGAGCCTGATCCTTCCCTCCAATTTGGCTTGTATGACTGAAATATTTTTTCCCAGAATGGTGTGTTCCAGTCACAAACCCTTCATTGAGAAGGACTCGGGAATTCAAGGTTAGGCTTCACAGCAGCCAAGATAAGATGCTGTTTGTATTAAACCTGCTTTTAGACACAGTTCTTGGAGCTGTAACTATCGCTGTGACCTCATAAAATGCTTGTTTGAGGTAAATGGCTCCTTTAGGTGCTAGCTGAACAGGCACTCTAAAAAGACTTCATTTAGATTTTTTGATCATTTTTAGAACTTAGCGAAAGTGGTATCGCTCTCATCACTTGTCCTGGCAGAAATACAAGTCTGCACAGATGCAAGATGTCCATGTCAAGCTAAAATAATAGTTCTTCACAGTAACAAATGCTTGATTCTTAGCCAAAAGTCTCAGTTGCTTGGACTATTCTTTGGCAGTAACAGGTGAGCCAGATGGTATGAAGAGTTTCTGTCCATTGCTCCTGTGTACAGGAAAATAAAAATGTTGTGTAATAGTAAAACAGGACCTGTAGCACACTGCAGCAGTCATCTGTTCTCTAGCTCTTGAGTGTTCAAGTGAAAAAAACAATGCAGATTGATTTTAAAAAAAAAACAAACCATAAATCTATTTGTAAGCAACTGTATGATGTAAAAACTAGCCTTCCAGTTAGAATAAGAACTGTATCTAGTTGCGGAAAAATAAAATCTCTTGGAGCACTGCTTTTAGGCAGGTTATTTTTTCTGCATTGACCTCCAAGAAAAATAGTTCTTCCAGTTGAGCCAGTTTAAATTAGGTTACTGAAATGTGGCTGAGAAAACCTATGTAGTGATAATCTGCAAAGTATAATTGTTTTAGCAAACTTTGTCATTTAAATTTGTTTGTTTGTTTGCTTGCTTGTTGTAAGGAGGAAGTTTCTGTAGAAGTCCTAAAGACCTACATTCAGGTAAGCTTGCAAAGGCACATTTTACGTTCTCTGAGATACTTCAGAGGGGCAAAAAGGGGGAAGAAAAGGATACTTTAAACTTGAAGACAGGGCTACAGTGCTGGTGATGCTGTCCTCTTAAGGCATGCCTGGAGGATATGCCTACACACAGAGAGTTTCTGTTAGCAATGCTTAAATAAGAGCAAGTTTTATTAATCCCTATTTAGAAGCTGAGAATCCAGTGGAATCTTTTTTTAATATGAGAACAAAATCATTAGAAATTTATTACATGTTGTTTAGTCTTCATAAGTTATGTTATTCCATAGGGCAGGTGTACTATGGATTCTTAATGCTTGTTTTTTCATTCTGCAGCGAATGGTATCAGAGAAGCGCACAGATTTAATAGCATTTTATGTTAGCCACTTGCCTCCAGAGCTAGCTGTTGCCCAGTATGCTTTATTTTTAGAAGATGTTACTGAAAGTGATCAACGCCACCACTGTCTTGAATTAGCAAAAGAAGCAGGTGAGATATTTGACAATTAGAATATGAGCATATTTTTTCCTGGGTTGTGGTGTGGTCAGTAGTTTACAACACAGAATAGCCCAGAGGACGATGCTGAATTGTTTCCATACTGCCTCTCTTCACCTTTCAATTAAATAAAATTAGTTTGCTAATCAATTTTGAGTAGGTATATTGTGTTTTCTAACTATAGCCTGGAATTGCAATTCTCCATTTTTAAATTAAACTAAATGTTACTTTTGCCCCTGGATTACATCAAAACACAACAGGAGGTAAATGCCAACTACTCAAATATACACTCTGAAGCTTTACATTATCTTGTTATTCAGGGAAATAAAGGCAAAAGATTTGGTTTATGTGGATTTGATAAAATTATGAATGTGGGCTATTCTGGGGGAGTTAGTTTGCAGTGTTCCTTCTCAGGCACTGTAGATGTTTGCATTACTTGTCATCTCCCTTCCAGGCCTTTACATCAAATTCAAAGGGACTTTAATGAAGTAGCTTTGTCCCGTGTTTGATAGGGCTCTTGTGCCACTTCGACTCAAAACTCACAAAGAAATTGTTGCTGCAGGTTTCTCCATCTAGTTTTTCCTCATCATTTTTAGCCATTTCCTTGTAAAAACTTAGCTAAGATTTCAGAGGTATAGGTTCGTGTTTCAGAATCTTTAGAAAGGACCAAACTTCTGGTATGTCTCTGTTAGATCCCACATTCTTTCTTTTTATTTGAAGATTAAAGGAATTAGTAGTCTTAGCAAATGCATGTGTGTATATCTATATTAAAGTGTGTCTGCGTGCACATACGTACATACATACTGGTGTCCTGGCAAACCGAAAAGGTGGTTGGTTAGTTATTTTTTTATTATTCTTGTTTTCTTATGTCTTATATTCTCTTTAAATTCTTAGATAACACTTTTCTACATGCCTGCAATAAATTACATATATCAAAAGCCTATGATTGAGACTAGCAATGTGAGCATGAGCAGACCTATAAAAATTGCTATCAGTAAGGAATTTCATCTGCAAATGAACTCTGAAATATACTTTGTGGCAAGTCTAACTTCATGATCTTTAAATAGTACTTGAAATAATTCTCTCCCTCTCAACCTAGGTCTGGATGTTGCAACCATTACCAAAACTGTAGTTGAAAACATCCGCAAGAAGGATGCTGGGGAATTCAGTCACCACGATCTTATGTTAGATACTGGCACAACAGAGGTGAGTGCATCTAGCAGGGCAGATACTCCACGTGGCAGGATTGTCTTTAGAGATTCCTTTGCCACACATGATTTTCCTTTTTCCATTTTTCTTTACGTGTGACCATGAATGAATTCCTAGCTTCTGTTTCTACATCTCCTTGACTTTCTGGA